GGGGGGGGGGGAGGAAGTGAGCCTGGAGACTTATACAGGGGCTAGGTCACACAGAACATTATAAGCCAGAGTAGAGAGTGGGTGTTTATTCTAAGTGCATTAAGACATCTTTGGAGGCTGGAACATAGTCTGGGTGAGCCAGGCTATGGCTGGTGGACATGGGGTAGGGCAGGCCAGGGAGGTCCCTGGTGTCAGGTAGGGGGAGGGTCACAGGGACCAAGCTGACCTGCAGGATGTGGTGAATGGCTCCATCAAGTTTGGTGGCCCTGCCAGTGCCTGGGGAGGCTGTGAGACCCAGCACCTGGGGCAGGGGCCGTGTCCTCTGGAATTTATGCTCTAGGTACCGGCTCAGGATGATGTTGTAGACAGTGTCTTTGTGCGTGTGGTGACACTCATCCACCACGAGGAGAGAGAAAGCTGGGGGCACATGGGGAAGGCTGTGAAAGAACCTGTGTTTGCAAAGCCCTTCCTCCCATAAGCTTTGTGGGAACAAGTCATATGAGAATTCCTTCCTCCCTTCACAACTAGCAGTCAGACCCCAGAGAACAGCCAGTCAGGGATGATTTACCTCCATTTTACAGATTAATAAACTGAGGCTCAAGCTGGAGGAAGGGACTTGCCCAAGATCCTGCACTGTAGCCAGGTCTTTTTCTACTAGGGTTTATGCTGGGGTTGGGTGAGTAGGGAAGTTCTCACTCCCACAAAATCTCCCAATATCTTTACAGACAGGGGTGCCTCAGGCGCACACAGCCCTCACCAGTGAGCTCCACATGCTCCTCCTCCTCAGGGCTGGTCAGTGCCAGCTGCAGCAGCTCAGCTGTGCAGATGATCAGGTCATTCCTCTGGGCCAAGTGGCCAAAGCCAGGGCGTGGCCCCATATCTCCACTCAGGGTTGCAATGGCCCACTGCCCATCCAGCATGCGGCTAAACTCCTCACAATGCTGAGTCACCAGGTGTACCTTGGGGTGCAGATGAGATGGGGAGAGGAAGCTGGATCTAGGTAAAGGTGATGGGGAGGAGGAAATGGCTGGGATGGGTGAAAAGGTGAGCTTAGAGATGGCCGCAGCAGCTCTGGAGTTCTGCAGGGTCTTAAGAGGTACCTGAGGAGCTGAGACCCCACTGAGGGGAGGGCAAGCCACTTACCCTGTTGACCAACACAACCACCTTGGCTTTGTCCACAGTCTCAAGATGCCTTTTGGCCACATAAGCAGCTGCCCGGGTCTTCCCAGCGCCCGTGGGCAGCCATATGATGATATTCTTGCCCTCCAGGGCAGGCATGATCACTTCCCATTGGTAGGGTCGCAGCTCCATTCTGGGAATGGCAGGGGACTCAGATCCCTGGCCTTCCTGGTCTCCTCCTCAGCCCAACACCCCTCAGATCTGCTCCCTACCCACTTCCAGCTAACCCAGTCTAGCGCAGAGACCTCCCTTTGCCCAAGACTCCATCCTGCTTGAAGGAAGGGCACCTACCAGGAACCTGATCTGACCAAGAGGGGAGGCAGGAGTCAGGCAGACCTGACCCTGCCCAGCCTCACCTTTCTTCCTGAGAAGGGCAGCTCTGTTTGGCTGAACCCGGCTGTCTGCTACTGAGCTCTGCTGAGATCATAAATGAAACTGAAACTGAGGGGAGGAGCCAGCCCAGCTGAGCTAGAGCTCAGCCTTAGAATCTCTTTCCTGACTCCTCATGGGCCTGAGTAGAGGCAGAAATGCTGATAGGAAAGCCCCTTTTCGTAACTTCTGGGTCCTGCCAGCACCCCCTGCCCCCAAGAACAGTCTCCACCCCCCACCCCCACTCCTTTTGGAGTCAGCTGTAACCATGTGACCCAGGCAAAGCTAGCCAGGGGAAGATTTGGACCCCTGTCGTCCAGGCACCTGGACCAGGAACAACCAGGAGCAGGGAAAAGTGGAGGCTGCAGTCAGGCAGGTCATGTCACCCCAGAGGCACGAGACTAGGTATGAGGCTTGCTGGGGAGGGGTCCTCAGCACAACCTGAGCTTAATAGGCTCCAACTTGCAGAAGGTACTGGCAGGAACAGGGTCAGCCTGCTAAGGCCCTGGGATGCTACTGAAGAAACAACCACACAAAAGAAAAAAAAAAAGAGCTTTATTGATCCCTCCAAGGGATTAATGCCAGGAAACAAATGGTCCCCATGTCCCCCACCCCTGGGGGACAGACAGAACAGTGCAGGGCAAAGCATGGCCCCTCCAATCCAGACTGAACTTCCAAACCCTAGAGCTCTCTCACTCAACCTAAAATTGTTAGTCCTGTCCTTGAGGAAACAGTGATTTGGGCCAGTCCCAGGACTCTAAGACACCACAGCTCTGTGGGGACCAGGGCTGAGAGCCACCAGACCCGGGGAGGGTTTATCCTCTGGCCACCAGTCACTGTAGAGGGGCTGAGCCCCAGACCCAGGAGGCCCTTCCCAAGGTCAGACACAATGAAAGGTGGGACAGGGCTACAGGCTTGGGGGTGCCCAAGGGCCCAGAAAGGGCTGCAGGATCAGGGGCTGGAGTGTCAAGCTGAGAGGGACCTGGGCACCAGGGGTCTCCCTAGGGATCAGATCAGATCAGAACCTGAGGTGGAGACATTCAAGGTTGAGGCGTGGTCCAAGGCTGGGGACTACTTGTCAATGAGCCCTCCCTCCTTGAGCTTAAAGTAGAAGAACTTCTCCAGGGCACTGGCGCAGCGGCAGTACTCGCTGTCTGGGGGGTTGTACTCGCGGCAGTTGGCGATGACCCGCTGCAGGTCAGCCACAAAGAGCTTCCGGGTCACGTAGTAACGGCTGCGCAGCCGCTCCGTCATGGTCTTCAGGTCTGGGGCAGCAGGACAGAAGGGCACGCGTGCCTTTAAGAGTCTCAGGAGAGTGGGTCACAGGGGGCTGTGTGGCCCAGTGAAGGCAGGAGCAGGATTTGAGGGCGGAAATGGAAAGAAGGGGTTGGGAAGGAGCATCCTCACCAATAGGGAAGCGGATGACCTCGTAGTAGTCAGGGGCCTCAGACTTCTTTACAGGCTCCATGAAGGGCCAGGCACTGGGGTGCGACTGGAAAGAAGAGCTGAGCTGGGGCCAGGCTCACTGTGCCCCATGCCCAGCTCATAACTGGCACCCACCCCACACTGGGTCATAAAGCCACAGCCATTGGCAAGGGAACCCCCAGAAAGGAGCCTGGTCTCCCCACCTTGATCTGGGCCAGCAGGTTTTTGAGGGTTGTGTAGAGCTGGTCAGGGTCCTTCAACTCCTTCCTGAGGTGATACATGCCAAGTCTGAGGCTCCTGGTCCTTCTGCCTCCCCCAACACCCTGCCCCTCCACACAACACTCACCCCTTTTCCTTCCCCAGTGGTTTCCAGCCCGTCTCTCCTGCAAAGTGGGGAGTGTGGAGAACATCCCTAAGAATGTCTGTCCACACTCCAAGCAGCATGCCTCTCCCCCACCAAGAGCCCTGCTTACTAATGCCAGGGACACTCTCCACAGGGATCTGCCTCACACCCTCCTTGAAGCAGCTGAGCCCAGGGTAGACCTTCCGGATCTGGGCCTGTTTGCGCTCAATCAGCTTCTTGATGATCTGAGGAAGGAGGGGTCTGAGGGGCCAATCCCAGCCCCAGCCACTACCCTCCCAGGGCCAGAGGCCCTGCCCCTGAATCCAGGTGCCTCTCCTCCTAACTTCCCCATGAGGCAGAGCAAGAATCAAGTTCCTGGCCCTACCTCACAAATGCACATGCACAGACATGTGGTACACATCCACATATGTGCTCATCCCCACATGCATGATCACCCCCCCACACACACATTCCACCAAAAGCACACACACAACCTCCTTCTGCTTCTTGATGATGTGGGAGAGCTCCGTGTAGGGGATACGGGGATTCAGCTCACACTCCATCAGTGTTGCCCCCTCGTAGTCCTTGATGTAGCCCAGGTAGCGGCTCTTGGGCACCTTGATATCCTTGGAGAAGCCCTAGGAAGTGGGAGTCATGACCCAATCCACCAGCAAGACTTTTCCAATTTTAATAGGCCTTCCCCCCGGCCCCCCCAGGAGCACCTGAGGGGCAGCTGTATGCCATGTCCCCTCTCTCCAGTTCCTGAATCCCCTCCGGTAGTCCCCAGCACAGTACTCTGCACTTTGAAGGCTCAACCTGTCCCTGGTAAGCTCCCCTCCAACTCATCCCATAGAACCTCCCAACTCTGCCAGCTACCCTGCTGCCCTACAAGACTCTATTCACTGGGGCAGCAGCAGAAGGGAGGAAGACAGGTAGGAAGGACGTCTCTGCAGATATTGGGTGGAACAGGGGACCTGAGGGGCTCCCAGTACGTCCATACCAGGGGGCCAGACAGAATGACTCCTGCCTCAGGTGGCAGGCAACTGTGGGGTGGGGTGAAGCAAGGGTCACCTGCTTTTTGAAGTAGCCAATGGCATACTCGTCAGCGTAGGTGAGGAAGTAGAGGATGTTGTGTTTGATGTGATACTCCTTCAGGTGGTTCATCAGGTGAGTCCCATAGCCCTGCAGGGGAGGGAGCAGGGCTTACTAAGGGGGGGGTCGCGCGCGGCCTGGTGCTGGACAGCTCTCAGGAGGGTCCAGGTAGCAGATTGGAGAGGAGGTGGGGATAGCCAGGGGATCCAAGGCAGGTAGGAGGAAAGGCAACGGGCAGAGGAGGGAAGGTTATGAGGGGAAAACTGAAGGACGCTGGATTTCTAAGCACTTGCTCTGAGCCAGGTGCAGTGCTTGGCACTTTATAGACCAAGTCTCAAGTCAAGTCATGAGGTAGGTATTGCTGTCAACTTAGAGAAGGAAAAGCCGAAACTTAGCTACATGAGAAAATGTGTCCAAGGTTAGGCTGTTAGCACAGCAGGGCTAGGATCCAATCCCAACCAGGAAGCTGCTGTCCACAGGCCACTGGTTCCTGGGCCCCGGTCCTCAGACTTGAGAAGGGGAATACCACGGGCCCTGCTGTCACAGCATTTGAACTGAGAGACAGACTCCCACACGTGTCAGGACCAAAGAGACAACATGCAGAACTGGGGTACGTAAAAAGGAGAACTAGGGTCTGTTGTGACAATGAAAGGACAGAAGCCAGGACTACCACCCAGCGCAGGCTACCATAAAATTATTAACTCCCCAGTGTATGTAAACATTGTGATGAAAAAAATTCAGGTCCATTTAAAAGTGTTACTGGTTCTACCCTGGCTGGGTGGCTCAGTTGGTTGGAACGTCATCCCGTAAACCTAAAGGCTGAGGGTTCGATTCCTGGTCAGGGCACACGCCCAGGTTACAGGTCCAATCCCTGGTCAGGGTGTGTACGGGAAACAACCAATCGATGTTTCTCTCTCACATTTTTTTTCTCTCTCTCCCTCCTCCTCTCTCTAAAATCAATAAAAACATACCCTCTGGTGGAAGATTAAAAAAAAAAGTGTTACTGATTCTTGAGAGCCATTTGTCAACAGGTGTTTTCTTAATCCGCGGTTATCAGAGTACAAGTGCCACCTTGTGGGGGAGCGAGGAACTGTCTGGCCACTAAAAGGAGCTTGGCGGCTGCTGCATTACCACATCCTCTGCTCTGATCTGGTCCAAACTCAGAAGCAGGTGGTGGGATGGGGCTGGGGACGAGCACTCACCTTGACCTGCTCATTTGAGGTGACAGCACAGAAGACAATCTCTGTGAAGCCCTGGGTGGGAAACATTCGGAAGCAGATCCCACCAATCACCCGCCCATCCTTGATCAAGGCCAGAGTCTTGTGCTTCCTGAGGGGAGAGGGGACAGGTCAATCCCTACCTGTTCCCCAAATGTCCCCCAAGGTCCCCACAGCCTTGGAGGCCTGTATTCAGGGGTGGGAACTGAGGAAGAAGAATTTCCAGAGGTTGGAGGAAGAGGCCTGGGAAAGGGTGTGGAGGTGAAGGAGGACAGGTGCCTGGATGTGGTGCCCTGGGACTGGGGCTCTCCTGGGGACGCACGGGTCAAAGACGAGGCGGGCGATATACTCCTTGGGCATGCGTGGCAGCTGATGGGAGAAGACATTCTGCAGCCCCACAAGCCAGAGCAACACCCGCCGGTTAGCCTTGGGTGTTAGTGAGTTGCCGATGACATGGAATTCGATGATGCCGCGGCGCTCCTCCAGGCGGGCTGTCTCGTCCCGGGCTGCGTTGGCTGACAGTAGGCTTGTCTGGGCACCAGAAAAGGGATTGTGATCAAGGGTCTCAGGTCTATGAAGGCTCCCTACCCTGCTGGCCAGCAAGCCAGGCTGCCTACCTCAGGCCCCAGCATGGCAGCAGGGTCAGTGATGGTGAGCATAACCTCGTTGACTAGCTCCATGGGGATGTCACCCATTACACGGAGCCGCTTGGCATCCTCCAGGGTCAGGTTCTCGGGGAGCTTCCTCTTTTCGCCTGCTGGGGAGGTTGTCAAGGTCTTCCAGGGATAGCCAGGGAGGTTAGGGGAGGGGTGAGTGAGGGTCAGGGGTCAAATATCCACCTGGCATGGGCTCAGCACCTCCGGAATCCAGACTCAAAGAGCTGTTGCTGCCCCCACCCATGGTGGGGCTGAAGATGGGGGCACTGGGAACAACTGCTGCGCTGACTGTAGCTGAGAGAGCCAAAGAAATCAAGGGACGAGGGGGAGGGGGGGTCAAAGGTGTTGGTGGGTGCCGAAAAGGTATCTGGACCCTCCAACCCCTAGTTGAGCCCTCCTGCATTTCTCCACTGCTGCCATTCGCAGACCCTCTTCCACAGCACGGTGGTGGGGAGCACCTGAGCTCAGCCAAGAAGGGCAAACAGAGATCCTGCAGAACCTGCTGTGGCACATACCTGGCCGGGGCACCAGTTGGGTCCCCTCTGAGGGCGGCATAGTGAAGCCTGATTCCCAGATCGGAGAGTTTGCCCCGTAGATCTCCTCCTCCAGCATGGACAGGAATCTGTGGGAGGGTACAGTCTGTCTCACAACTCTGTCTAACCAAGGGAGCAGCCTGGGCCAGACACCAGGGGGGCTGGAGGTAGGTCAAAGACACAGACTCTCGTCTCAGGGTACTGGGAGCCTAAGAACAGAGACAAACTCTGCCTTCAGACTAGAGAGAGGTACAGTCCCCTGCCTTCTGGGAGACGCTCGTTGAAGATAGGAGGACAGGATAAATCCTGGACAAAGTCCAGAGGCCCAGTTTGCCATAGTGTACGGAACAGAGAGACAGGGTCTGAACTGACGCCATTCTGTTCTGTGTGGCCAGGCTGAGCACCAAGTCACCCTGGGCCTCAGTATCAAAATGGGGCTCAGAATCCAACCCCTCCTGCCACCTTATTCCCACCTGGTGGCAGAGGGGCACCAGAGGTCCTGGATTAGTCAGTAAAGGCTTTCTAAACTGGATAGCTATGAGCAAGTTTAAAATGAGAAGAAGGTGTGGCAGAACAGAGGAAAATCAGAAAAAACTAGAACAGGAGCAGAAATTGGTTCTGCCTCAAGTAAAAGCTCTGGGCTTTTTTTGAGTGCTGTGGTGGGAAGGATGCTGAGGCTGTGGCCAGGCCCCGTGGGAAACAACTGGTAATATTTGCCAGGGGTGTGGGCAGGGGTAGTGTTAGCACTCGGGCCATGTATCTGCCATCCCCTTGCTAACAAGCTGCGTCTGGGCCATGGGCAAGTCGGCCAGGTAGATGCCCAGATCCCAGAAGGCTTATGGAGGGAGGGGAAGGACCAATCCAGGAAGCCTTCCTGGGAAAAAAGGGGACAACAGGGAGGATATGAACTTGGGACAAAATCATGATAAGCCAGAGGAACCTTACTTGGGGAAGTGGGTGAGGATGAGGGTCCTCTTCTCGGGCACCAGCTTGTCCTTCTCCACCCGAAACTTCTCTAGCAGCTGCCGTCGAGTGACGGTGAAGATGGAGCGAAGAAGGCTTCGCCCAAAGACATGAGTGGTCTCATAGCGGGGGAGGCTATCGCAGCTCTGGGGCACATGGCAGTAACAGAGCCATCTACGGAGAATGGGGAGGCAATGAGACTGGAAACCACTGAGCCTATAAGCTTCTCCCCATGCTGTTCCTGGCTGGGCCTACCTGGTGTAGTTGACCTTGTAGGTAGCCACGTCCTCAGCCTGAGACCTCTGCCGAAATTGGGCAGGCGTCTCAAGCTTCCAGTAGTTAAGGCAGAGCAAGAACATCTTTGAGAGCTCGAACATTGTCTGCCGCTCTCGGGGAGCCAGATGACTGAACTTGTACTGCACAAAGTTTAGTACACCCTGAGAAGGAGTGGGCAGGGGACAAAACCAGGAAGGAGGTGTGAACAGCCAGCATGGGCTTCTTGTTCAAAACAAGGGGCTTCCTGAGGGCAGGAGCAAGGCTCACCTCTCATTCTGAGGCTCTCTGTGAAGAAGAACTATGCCCCCTCCCTACCCCTATGCACACACTGAGGTTAGCACAAAACGTCCTCTCCCTTCTTGGAACCTCTCCCCTGTCCTCAGCTGTAGGATGGAGAACAGTGTCTCCTCCCTCCTCCAAGATGCCCCCAATTCTCTTGTCCCCTTCTTTATCCCACCTGCTCAATATTAGGCTTCTCAAATGGGGGGCTGCCCAAAGAGCCCTCCACCACGGGCCGGGTCATCTGCAGGATGCATTTCCGAAGGAGCTGGAAAAGGAGGAAGAAGGAGGGATAGAGGTCAGCAGAGATCAGAGCTGCAGCCCCACCAGTCTCAGCTCCTTTGCTCACTCACTTTCACTCGGAGAAAGCTCACCTTGAAGAGGTAGAAATAGACCTGCTTAGTGTCCGTGTCCTCCTCCTTGTGAACAGACATGAACAGATTTTCCACATCCACCACCATCCCCAGCAGCCGGTTAATCTCATCCTCTGACACATTCTCCAGGTGGGACACGTGGTCAGCTGCAAGGAGAACAGGTGGCAGAGTTGGGAAGAATGGACAGGAGAGACCAACAGGACTGCCTGCCCCTCTTCATCACCAGCCAAGATACACCCTCAGTCCCTCCAACCAGTGTGACCAGAAAGGAGACTGCTCCCGTGTCAGCCCTTGGGTGGTCCCTTGTATCTTCTGTATTGGCAGATTTCCTTTCTCCTCCCTGGGGCATACACCCTCCCAACCCAACCCTTCCTTAAAAGGCATCTTTGGTTTTTAAGAGATGAAGCTCTGTGGCACATAAGTCATCCTGTCCAAGCAGGAGCCAGCACCTGCTTCTTCTGCGCCCCCCCAGCTTACCCAAGGGGTGCTCACAGCTGCGGCACAGCTCACTCAGGTTGGCAGCAGGCTGCTGCAGGTCCATGCGGGGTGCAGTGGGGGGCTTGGGGTTTTTCCAGCCGTTACACTTGCAGGTTTCATTGGCCTGGAGGCAGAAGGATCAGTCAAAAAACCTGTACGTACCCTAGGGACGAGGAGCCGCTCCCCAGCCAGAGCTTTGCTTCCATTGCCACCCGAGCCCTGGGATGTCCC